TCGTCTTTCTTCTTTGTATCTCTAGTTATCTGTATCATCATTGTAACACTATCCTTTATACATTTATTATTAATAGCATTACCTTACTCATCATTGTTATATAATTAGAAATATCATCATTATTGTTATTATCAATTACTTTAGTACTTATCATTAACATTTTTTTTTTTTCTATTTATACTATTTCTAATTCTTTTTTTATTTCATTTTTTTCTTTTTTATCTAGTTAGTGTATCTGGCATCAGGAAGCGAAATACAATTAAGGTTTACATGTTAACATATACTCGAGGTGACGCAGCGCCATACGTGAATATCATTAAAATCTGGAAAAGATTCATTTATTGCTAGACGTCTGCATTTTACAACAGACTAATGCATTTTAGATGAATAACACGAATGAATAATTTATTACACCTGAAAATATTATAGGACAATACTACAGGGATTTTCAATATTAAGTGCTGCACCTAAAGCTTTCAATGATCACTTCTTTTTCAAGGGATTACAGTACAGTTTGTGCAATGAAGAACGCGGTATTTTATTAGATGGTTTATAAGTTCTTGCTTCAGATGTATATATTTTATCTATTTATTTATTCAATCACCCAGTTATTTATTTATCTTTATTTATTTATTTGTGCTCATAGAAAAGGAAAATTACCATACGTACAACAACAATTGTGAAGTTCGTTGTAAGTGGCCATATAATAGCTTTTTGATTGATTAATTTTCCTCTGTATTATCTGGCGTAAAAAAAGTAATGGCCTTTACTCAGAAAGAGAAATGGATTTTAAAGACAATATGAAGGTGAGGTTAGAAAAGAAAAAATACTTTAACAACAGACGAACAACAATGTGAAGTTGTAAGTGGCCATAGAAAAGCTTTTTGATTGACTAATTTTCCTCTGTATTATCTGGCGTAAAAACGTATTTTGAATGCGATATGAATATGAGGTTAGAACCGAAACGATGAATTTGACTGTTTTATTAAAGAGAGTTTCGAGACTCTTGGTTATCTCTCTCAGACTGAATATATGCGTGGCAGAATTATGAGTTAATTAAGGATGATACAAAAGGAACAAAGCAATTTCGTCATATCTGATGAATTTCTGTTAAAATGCGTTGTTTCTACATATTCTGTGCTGACAAGATAGTTGTGTTGATTGGTGTTCTGATAAAGGCTCTTTTGATCTACGATGGAGAAGTGATTATTGTTGAAAATATACATACATGCATGCATACATATATGTACATACATATATATAAATATATATATATATATATATATATATATATATATATATATATATATATATATATATATATATATATATATATACATATATAACAAACAACACAACGTTTTTTCACACAATAGATACACACACACACACACACACACACACATATATATATATATATATATATATATATATATATATATATATATATATATATACATATATAACAAACAACACAATATTTTCCACACAATAGATACATATATATATATATATATATATATATATATATATATATATATATATATACATATATAACAAACAACACAACATTTTCCACACAATAGATGCATATATATATGTATATGTATATATATATATATATATATATATATATATATATATATATACATATATAACAAACAACACAACATTTTCCACACAATAGATACATATATATATATATATATATATATATATATATATATATATATATATATATATATACATATATATATACATATATATATATATATATATATATATATATATATATATATATATATATATATATATAACACAGCACTCTTTCTTCTGTTTTACAATTAGATAATTGAATTAATTTCGCAAGCAAAGAAATTACTTTTTAAAATATGTTTAGTGTATATATATATATATATATATATATATATATATATATATATATATATATATGTATGTATGTATATATTAATAATCATAATAATAATAATCATCATCATAACTATTTTCCACACAAATATCCTCATATGTCCCGTATACTTCGACTAAACATAACTGCAAGCCCTCTTCATTTTACAATCTAATTCTTAATTAGATAGCACAAAAAATCTCTGTCTGAGACTTATGATCCGCTTCCCATTACCCCAAACTCACACGCCTACAGTTAAGTTATAACACTTTCCTCATCTGAAAAGGGTATGAGGACAAAGTTAACAAAAGAAACTAATTCGGTTTGAAAATTAGTGGAAAATTATCATGGGATTTGGAATCATAAGTGGTAGTGCTCAGTCTTGAATCTTTTCTTTCTTGTCTTCACCAAATGCATATACATTTTTCTGATATGTTATGTTATATTTGATCATATCTGCGATGCCAGGTATATTAAGATATTTTGAATGCTTCTCCCTCTCTGTCTCTCACTGTCTCTCTGTCTCTCTCTGTCTCTCTCTCTTTCTCTCTCTCTCAATGAATCTTACCAAATTAATATTAACTAACACGTGTTATGAATTTATCATATGAATGATCCATATCATATATACATACACCCAGGAAAAATCCGTTTTGCTCTTCACTCAAAATACTTTGACCATTCTTCGCAGTTCTTCCGCGTGTAACTGTTTCAAACTCACTAAACTTGCCACTGCTGTAGATAACGATCCGACAAATTGCAACTTTAAAAGCCGGTAAGATCTCCCCTAAAACAAATGTGTCTGGACGACCGCTCGAGGCGTTAAGGGTCCCTTACTGGTTTCTTAAGATCATTATTCACAGGAGCTTGCAGTTGAGGAAGTCTGGCTAAGCCATACGGAAAGATGGATGTAACGTAAGAATTAGATATTTACGTGGAGGAATGAACTAATCGTGTTTGGTTATCAGATACGATAGGTAATATTTATTTGTTTATATTTTGGTTTCTGAGTAACGTTTTGTTGACTTTCTCGTCCTGGGAAAAGATATGCAATCGGAAATTCAAGGAAATATATATAACGATACGAATTTTACAGTACGTTTCCATGGTAAAGGAAACGGTAGTGTCGTTTATTGTCAGCCAACGGATATGTAATATGTAAGGGCTAAATTCTGAATTTAATTTCGCTTTGTCATTAAAATGTCAATAATGATTACAATGAATAATAAGAAATGACAAATATTGAATTGTAAAGAGACACAAAACAATAAACTTATGTCATCCAGATATTAACGAAACTAGCAGTAAATTGAATAATAAAACTCGCCATACAGATTTCACGTATAGTAAAATTCCTCAAAAATAAGAAACTCATGTATTTGTTAAACATTTATAGCAAGTTAGTGATAATTCAGATGACGTTATACAATCCAGTGTATAGATTCTTATCCAAATGACATGTACAGGATTTTTTTTAATCACTCATATTGCAAAGGTGATGCAATTATTGTGTTTAAAGGCTGTTTAATTAATGATGACTTTTAATTAGCATTCTAGGGGATTATCTTGATGGAACTGAAGGATTCTTAATCAGATGAGTTAGTCTACCTTCATTATTTTGAGAATCACCAATGAATGTTATTATCATAATTATTGTTTTCAGTATTATGGTTTATCATTACCACATTTACGATCATTATTATTGTTCTTGTTTTGTTATCATTATTCTTATCAATATTAATAGTAGTTGTAGCATCATCATCATCATTACCATCATCAATATCAGCAATATTAATATCATCATCAACATTATTATCATCATTATCATCGTCATCACTGCTATTACTACTACTACTACTATTAACACCATCAGTAGCAGCAACATTATCACTATAATTACTATTATTATCGCTGTTACCTTTATCAAAAAGTACTAAAAAAGAAACAGCTTAAGAAAAGACAAGCAGAAAGAGAAGAGATAGAGATGTTGAAAAAAGGCAAGGAAAAGAGAAAGAGAGAAAATGTGTTTAAGGGAAGAAAACAAAGTAATGCAATCTTGTTAATAGTGATACTGATAACTCGTATGTCATTTAGAACAATTAAAAACAAAAACAGTAATGCAGTATCCTTGTATGCTGCCGAAACACGTACAACAATATAGCTTTGTATTCCACGAGTTTAAGTGCACACAGTAAAAGTTAACTAGGTTGCTGCATAATAAAAACACAGTTATGACTTTATAACGTTAGTTAATATCATATTCATAAAGACTTCATAGAATTTATTCTGTATAATAGAAATTACATAGCATTTAAATATCCAAAGATGCACATATACAAATACGTCACATTTCATTGATATAATTGATATAATCGTTCCATTACTCTTGATTTGAAGACAATATACATATATATATATATATATATATATATATATATATATATATATATATATATATATACATATATATATATATATATATATATATATATATATATATACATATATATACATATATATATATATATATATATATATATATATATATATATGTTCAATATAATTTTCTATCTGAATTGTCTGTCATGATGTTATCTGCATTATTTTTGCCTTTTCTATCTATCATTACGAAGAAAGGATGTGGATTTACACTTTTTAACTTTTTTCTTTTCTCTCTCTCTCTCTCTCTCTCTCTCTCTATATATATATATATATATATATATATATATATACACACACATACACATATATATACATATATATACATATATGTATATATATAGAGAGAGAGAGAGAGATTGATATACATATTTACTATATAATATATATGTATATGTATGTATATATATACATATACATATATATCAGCATACATGTATCTAAAACAAATTTGTGTGTATATGTGACGCCCGCGTGGCCTCTCGTTTGTCCCAACTCCATCCTCTCCCAAAAATTTTCCAACTCGGAAAGATAACGCCCGAAACCCCTTTAATTGTCGGAAGCCCAAAGTAATTATCAAGCGTGAGTGATCCCGCGAAGTTAAGACATGTAATGAGATCACGGAGGCAATTTATTCGTCTAGAGCAATTACAGCCACATCAACGCACCGTGTAATTAATCTCTGTTCCGGAGGCGTAATTCGGATGCCTTCCGTCACGCGAGATGAACCTCCATAAATGCATTCACAGTACTCATAAAACGTCAAGGTTTCTCGTCTTTCCAGAGAGCAAGGGGTTTGATGTCTATGTACTGTTATATGTATAATGATATGTGATAAAGTTTTATATAACCTGTTCGTTAATAGTAATTCATTCATTACTGTTAGGCATTTTGAAACGATTAGGTAATTCGTACAGGTAACAATTTTAACAATAAAATGGGATTAAAGAGAGTACAATTACAATGCTACTGCAATGCTAATTAATATTATAATTTTCTATAGGTTTCAAATGACAAAATATTTCCTGTCATAGCTATATATATATATATATATATATATATATATATATATATATATATATATATATATATATATATATATATATACCCATAATGTAAAAATAAATTTATTGAAAGTGAGACAACAGTTTCGGTATCCAAATCTAGTTTTACAATGTGGGTTTTTCTACCATAGTATAAACACGGTAGAGTGTTTTCACCATTCATATATATATATATATATATATATATATATATATATATATATATATATATATACAAAGATAATTACACACATAAGTGTGTGTGTGTGTGTTTATCCACCAACTCATACATATAAACATATATACATATGTATTTATATACATACATGTTTTTTATATGAATATATATGTATATATAAATGCATTTATATATACATATATACATATATATATGTATATATATATATATATATATATATATATATATATATATATATATTATATACATATAAATATATAGGGAGATATTTACCTATTTATTTATTGTAATTTGTATGAAAATGAGTATGTACACACACACATATATATATACATACATACATGTATATATAAATACATATATATATGTATTTATATATACATACATGCATGTGTGAGTGTGTATATAAGCCACAGAAAGAGCAAGTTAGTAACTTTTACGTCGTACTCGACAGCTCGGCGCATCACTGACAGTTTTATTCAGTTGGTTAGATCGAAAGGCTTTCTCTTTAATTTTGTTTTCTTTTCCTCTTTTTGGATATTGTGAAATTGTCTTTTCCTTGTGGTTCTTTTTCTTTTTTCTTTTTTTTGTTAAAGTATCTTTCGTCAACTATATACGCGTAATGCACATGTATACTCTCGGAAACATACACGCATGAAGACACACACACACGCCCGCCATTTCTATTACTGAGAATTCCCCTCAATTTCTCTTCTTCCTTGTTGAACTTTCTGCTCCTCAATTCGCCAAATAAC